CACCTAAGGCAGCAGCGGTGCTAACACCGGCAAACACAGAGCAGACAATGTTCATACAAACGGCGGTGTCCTCTCCTCGAGGAGTACCATGTGATTTGCAAACATTGCTCGTTGCAGCAGACATTTCAATTTCGATTCCTGAATTGCCCTTTATTAGTAAAATAGGCCGCAAATGGCTGCAATTTCTGGAATTTCAGGAGACATAGATCACATAGAATGACTACCACCATGAATAGACAATTTCAAAAGCCGGAGTATATGGCCGTCCCTGACCTATACTCCTGTTCATCTTAAAATAGACTACATCCAATTCAAAGTTGTGAACAGCACCACATGCCTTTGCATTCCACATGGCGCTACACCTATTTGGAAGGGTGTGTGTCATCCTCATCTGCCAGCTGTGAGCCGCCATTCTCACAGCAGACGACGCCATGTTGTCTGCTACTAGAACAGCGGCTCGGAATTGGCTGACGAGTGCTGTCGTCACCCCGCCACAGGCTCTGCTGGATTATGTGCTGTCTTTCCAAAGCGGAAATTACTGCTCAGGAAGTGGATGCCTTAACCATAAATTACTCTTTCAGTAGGAAAATCATTGTCTGGCGAGCATAACTTTTTATTTTTTTTTATTTTTAGGATGCCTAGAGCCCATAGAAGGAGTCACCTTCAGAAACAGACAATCTCAGAACCCTTTTTAGTGCACCTTTAAAAGGGAGCATGGAAATGAAAAGGTCTTTCTAGCACACTGTCGAGATTGATTATAACGAAGTCATTGGGAATTGGAAATCACTCTGCTATATCCGCTATTTCGTTATAATCGACTTCGGTTAACGAAGTGCAAAGGGAATGGGAAATTATGGTCACTCCGGTGTAGCCGCTACTTAGTTGTAACCGGTCTCGACAGTATGACCTATTCAAAGTAGACATTTCAAAGGCCTACCTCGACATCTCTTGAAACACGCGCAGTTGTGCAGCAGGGCACCACATCAGTTTTGTTTTTAGCTGTGAATTTCTGGCGGTTCTTGAGAACTTCTCCCTGAGGAGGCAGCTTTCGTCGCTCATGTTTTCCCTTGTTTCGCAGTGCTCGTTGCCAAGAGTCCTGTATGTACACAGCAAGTAAAGCACCCAGCAGAGACTGAACGAACACATTAAGTGTAACGATTATTCTGAAGGAGACAGAAGCATGGATAGCGAGCTACTATACATGCCACCGAAGAGCAGAGTAGTGATTTCCTTTGATCCACAAACTTTGCCAGCGAAGCGATAAGGCTAGTTACATGAGCAGAAGAATGATGGGCTTGTTGTCGTCTACCTCCTAAGTCACTTTTGTTAAAAGTGGAACATCACAGCTTGCTGGAATCTTCAAAACTAACGCGAGTGTTTTCATTACTCATGTAGAGGTTGTGCTCTTCCATCATAAAACGAAGCATATGAACAGGTCATTGAACGAATACCGGTAAAACTACTGAGATAGTGCATCCATCATACTGAAATTTTATGAGTGTAGTATCCCGGAATAAAATCCAAGAGAAATATTTTACCTTTATGGAACAAAGAAAGACACAAACAAACCGTCTGTTTTATTTGAAACTATTTAGGCTTACTTTATTTCTTTCCCTCTTTCTACTTTCATTGTACTCCGCCCCGAGACATTCAGCTAGAGATATATTCATTAATAGACCTATTTCTATATTACTCAAGCATCAAGGAGAATGCAGGAATTGGTGTTCCACGTGCCGCACGTCCTGGCCTCAGCAGTAATAATTTTTTATAGCAAAAACCTGAAACAAATTGTATCTTGCAAGCGCGTTTGGTAACGCTTTAATTTGGTTATTTACTTGGAATTTTTTATACGGGGAAGGCGTGCTCGTGTGGCACGTGGAACACCAATCCCTGCATTCTCCTTGATGCTTGGGTAATATACAGTCCGTGCGGGAACTATAGGGGGCGCTTTGAAAAACGCGCGCAGCGCCGCTAGCAGAGGAGCCCCTGTTGGAAAATATCGATGATGGAAAGATGATGGAAAAGGCTCATACAAGCGTAACCGTAATATGGGACATCCTATACAAGCGAAAAGGCAGCTCCAGTATAGTGGATTACAGCGGAACGATACAGGTAGGCGGAACCATACAAGCGTGTCGTATTATGGGACATCCTATACCGGCGTAGTGGATTATGCCGGAACCATGTAGGCGGACGGAACCATACATGGTAAACGTAATATGGGACATCCTATACCAGCGAAAAGGCGATACCGGCATGTTGGAGCCATATGGCTCCAACATGGTGGTTTCGCCTTTTCACTGTTGTACACGGCAATTTAGTTTTAAGCTTTACATATATGTTTAGAAAGGCCGTGAAAGCTAAACTAATGCGATTTGTGCAGGAGAGTTATATGGCCAGGCGTACGTAGTATAGGACCTAGTCGTAACGATCAGTCAGATAATTAAATACAATTTGTTAATTAACTTTTTAATTAGTGAAAATGAAACTATGGTTTCTATTGGAAACTTGCTGAGTCACTGAAAACCACAAAATCAACTCTTCTTAGAAGGATATAATGCAGGGGTAGCATTTTACGTGTTCTGTAAAAATGCTTTATTTGGACGAGTTTCTAGGTTTCAGTTTCTTATCAGAGCTCATCTTTGCGCCCACGGTCCTGTTCCCCAGGGGCTTAGACGCGCAACACACGTGCGCCTTGCTTCCCTCCATCCTACGAGGGAGGCGAGGGGGCGGCTTCGCACTGCGGCCACCGGGCAGCAGGACCGTAGGTGCAAAGATGCGCTCTGGTAAGAAACCGAAGTCTGGAAACGCGTCCAAATTGACCATTTTTTAGAACACCATAAAATGCTGCTCTTGTCTTATATCTTCACGAAGAAAATTGATTTAGTGTGTTTTGATGATGCTTAGAAGTTTCTAATTGGAACCATGGGTCTATTTTCACTGATTAAAAATTTTAGGAACATACTATACTTAGAGAGAGGCTGAAGCGGTTTTGTATTTGAGAAAACACTTTTAAATCTTCTTCATTTGACCTCCAGAATCTCAAATATCAAAATTATTTGCTAATTTAATTAATCGAGGCTGCATAGAGTTATTTTTAAAGCCCTTTGGAAGCACTTCCCTAGAGAGCTACGTCACAAGAGCAGCTTTCAAAATCTTTGTTCACGCATCTTCAGCGCCTATGAAAGCTATGCACGCACATGCTATTTTTTAAAGGGGCAGAAAAATGTGTCACGACTGGTGCCAATGCGGGAGAATATACCTAGAAAACTTGCGACTGGACGCGCGGCCCTTAAGCGACACACACTTGGCCGCTGAAAGGTCTTCTTACGATGTCACTATTGGTAGGATGTTTTTTTTTGTGTTTTCTCACGTTTAGTTATATCTTTGTGGAAAACGAACGGGATATTCAGATTCGCGGGATAAAACCACGCAAGAATGAACCTCCATCTAGTTTTCTGAAAGAAGTCTGGCACATCTCTGTAATAAGCCGACTGATCATTACAAATTAGCCTTTTATACTATGCCGCCCTGGCCATATAACTCACGTGTACAGACTGCGTAAATGTAGCTTTTATGGCTTTTTTTAAAAAAATCTGTAAAATATACAAAAAAACACTCTGTAGAATGTCCCCCAATACAATATGATTGTATGGTTCCTTTCCCGCTTGCATTGTTCAAGAAGGACTTGTGGATATCCAGCGTTTCATTGGAATGCTGGATGTCAATAAGTCTCTACATCAGTGAGTGGTTTCAAACAATTATGATGTTTGCACACCAGTAAGCTCTCATCCGAGGCTCACCAGGAGCACTAAGAGCAGAGGCAAAATGTCGTGACCTGGTAAATTTGGTTGCAGGTATTTATTTTTAGAAGAACTGCATGCAGCAAAGCTTAACTTTGCTCAAAAGAAGATAATTAAAAATTCAATACTGAACAATGGTGTCCCTTGAGCTGCCAGACGAAACTCCCACTCTTGTCACTCAGGGGTTCCTAACTTGTGCGTAGAGGATCAGAACAACCCAGATTTGTGCTGCAAGCGCACCTGCAATATAAAAGTTGAAAAAACATGAGATGAAATATGAGACGTTTACAATTCTCTGTAATGAGAAAATACAGTACAGCTCTCGAAGAGGAAGATGGGAGGGTATGCCCCTCCTTCCCCTCCTCTCCTCCTCTTCTGCTCCCTCCCATTTAGGGGGAAATTTCCCCACTAAATTTAGCGGGTTAAGTTTCTTAATAAATTTAGCGCGGAAATTGATGTCACATGACCTCAACACAAATGCAGTTTTTCCGCTAAAAGTAGCAGGGAAAATGACGTCGCATGACCGTGTCACGTCATCCATAAAAACATTCAGTTTCTCAGCTAGACTTAGCGGAAATATTAACGTCACATGACCACAACATTAATTCAATTTCCTGCCAAGTTTAGTTGGGCGGTTACGCCGACAGCGACGCCGCGAAACGCGGAAACGGGTGCTAACAGCTGCGCTAAAAACTAAATGCATCGGGTGAAATAAAGTGAACATTAGATATACTGTAAGAAAAAGGAGAATATAATGGTGAATTCACCTGGTAGATCTGGCGCGCTCAAAACCCGCTCCTTTTGGGGCGCGCATCTTCACCTCGCGGATTCGGATCAAGTTGGCCATCTTCAGCTCGCAGATTTGTGGCAGCGCGAGCTCCGTGGAGCGCGTCAAAGAGCGGCGAAACCGCTCCGTGGAATTCGGGCGAGCTCTCCGGAAATCGGCTGGTGCTCGGTTGCAGCGCGCTACGTCACTTCCTTTCTCGGCGCCTGCTCGGCAGGAGTGGATCGCACTGTTGTGCGAAATGGCGTCGAAGGTGGGACCGGACTTGCGTGCGTCGGTGCTCCTGCTATGTGAAAGCGATGATTCAGAGAGCTCAGACAGTTCAAGTTCGAGCTCAAGCAGCAGTTCAAGTTCGAGCTCGGGCAGCAGCTCCGGCGAATCGCGTTCGCGGCTACTTTGCGAACGAAAGTTCACGGAGCTCTTTGGACCTCGTAACAAGAGACCCAAGATCGAGGATTACATCGAGCGAACGGTTCACGTCTACTGGGACGAGGAGGTAAGCGATACGTCTCGTACTTCGTCTCATATCTGTTCGGTTCAGCATGCGTAAGCAAAGAAAACCTTTTCTTCCAGTTCCGTCGGAACTTTCGCATCTCGAGGCGAACAGCCTACAAGCTGATCGACGAGTTTGCGGCGTCTCCTATGTACCCCGCTGCCGATCACGGAGGATCGCCAGCGAAGAGCGCAGAGGAGCACCTGCTGTCATTTCTCTGGTGAGTACTTGACTGTGGTTCTCCGTGTTCACTCCCATCGATTTTTGTTTTCATTCTATGTACACAACTCAGGTACGCGGCTAACAAAGCATGCATCAGAGACGTTGCCGGACGTTTCAACCTGGGTGAGAGCACGCTTCACGGCATGATGGATCGAGTTCTGGATTTCGTCCTGAGCATCGGACCGCGCCTCATCAAGTTCCCCGAGGATCTGGAGCGCCTGTCAAGAGACTTTGAAGAGGTTTGTACCGTGATTCAATTATTCTAGCTGTATCTCCTCAAAAAGGCTGTGCAGTGTGCACTACCGCACGAATTTCGTGAGGAGGCTGATATATGATATATTTGTAGCCTTGTGCTACAAATATATCAAATATGAGTTAGGGGTAGGTGGCGCAAGGTGCCGCCCATTACAAAGGGTATAGTCATTACCATCCATCCATCCATGAGATGTCTTGAAAGGACCAACAGTATCTAACCGCACCGTGTAAATTGGAGAGCGACCTTCATCGGTTGCAGCAGTCGAAGTGGCGCTGCAGATGACATCTTCATACGTTGGCGAATATTGCAATGCATGGCAAAGTTCTTTACGTTCGGCCAAAAGTACTTCGTGCAAGTCTCGTCAGAAAGAGCACAGTTAACCATAGGCATAGTAATAGACGGATAAAACAACACTCCATAAACAGAGGCCAAACAGGTAGTGCTGGTGATCATCGCACCTCAACAGTAGGCAGCTTACAGGAACTTTTAATTGGGTATACTAGCTTTGAAAACGAGCATGTGTCTCTGCGGTCGCCAATCACTGAATGGTCTCTGCACCTTCACCTAAATGTGGTACTAAAAACAGCAAAAATATTAGCAACCATTTGCAAAGTAACTAGGAAAAACTTCTTTCCGTGGCATCACTCCAACAGGCTCCCAGAAGGCCGCTTGCGAGACTTATTGTTGCTAATAGGAGTCTTATAGGCAGCCGGCAATGGCCAGGCGGCGCCACGATAGTACTGCATTCAGCGCCACAAGCGGAGGCGCCTCTGTTAATGGGGCGGCCTATCTGCCCGCCAGGCCGTTGCGAGCGGCAGCGACCCCGATTTCAGCAGTCCCCGTGTGCACCTGCGTGCGTCCCTGGTTTTTTTCATGCGGTTTTTTAAGACCATCGGGAGTCTTGATAGGTTCAAGTGTTTAGAGAATATTCTAGAGTCGTCATCTGGACACCAGTTCGAGTTGTCTTCACTACTTGTGGCCGCCCGATCGGTCTGTGCTTCGCTCGTCTCCCAGGAAGTGACACAATACAACGAGAAGGCAGCGAATAGGTTTATTGTACATCCCGGTTGCCCATCTTCGAGAGCCGGCAGTCCGGACCCGCCGACCCTAGTTGTCGCCCGTCGTTCAGAACTCTGTCGGAGCCCGTGTACAGGCCTGCGGATCGTCCTTCCCACGCCATTGCTGCGTAGGCTAGCTGTTCCGCGCTATCACAGTCAGAGTCTCGCTGCGGAACCACTACGGGATCGTCATAGCCCAGGCCGGTATGGCCAGGGCTCGCCGCTTCCGCCAGTCCTGACCCGCACTTCGCTGGTGGAATGCCCCCGGGAATCGCCATGGGCCAGACCAGCCAAAACGGCTCTATCGTTCCTGCCCAGTCCCAGCCTCGTGCAGCACGCTCTTCCTCTTTCCTCGCCAACTGGCCCCGCTCGCGCCTCGCTGGGCCGTCCTCTCCTCCCGACGGCCACACACACTAGAATAAATTTGGAACTCAGCATGCTACATAACCGCATGCACATCGCAAAGCCTGGTGTAAAAAGGCGACAGGCAACAAAGTATGTGACAGGATATTTACGCTTCCCACGAGCTTTTTCCAAACAAAAACATTACCAGCCTGCTTTCTGCACGCCGTCACATTTGTTACTAGACTCAGCATTAAATTTGGTTGCTGAAACAAACAAAACTTTGTGCTACGAAAATCCACTCTCGCAGGTTTGGAAGGTTTTGGTTGCGACCACGTGTGCCGAACGGCATTAGGGGTGCCGGAACGGGCCGACGGGCCTTTCGCTTGAAGACCTGATCGCCCGATTCTCGACGTCACAGCAAAGCAACAATCGGCCTGATTGTTCCTATCGTATTTCCCTATGTGGCTGTCAAAGCAACTCGTAATACAACTTTTAATATGTTATTTTGACGAGTAGTCTGCAAAACGAGTTCGTCCGACCACTTTCCGAGCCTGCACATATATTTTCGTTCACGTCCCCCCCCAAGAGTTTCTGTAAAATTCACTTACTTGATGCGTCGCACTGCAGTAATCCACTTCTGTCGCCGTGTCGCTTTCGCTTCCCAAGATCTCGAAGGGAAGCGGTGAAGTTTGACGCTTGAGTCACCTTCGCGACTGTGGCCGTCTTTCACGCAGCAGTAGCAACGTTTATTTTTTGGGGGAACTATAAGAGTAGGCGAGATGTTACAGGAACCCGGTGAGGTCGTAGAGACGTGAAGTTGGGACTTACTTTTACGAAAAACGGTTTGAAAAAAAAGCTCACGCCGACCCGGAATGCAACGTTCACACGTGGTTTCTGGATGCGCCCGCCAGCTGCACCCGCGACCCGCGCGGGCCTGGCCTACCCAGTTCCTTTATTTTGCAGCCGCTAGATGGCGCAACGTGCAGCGCCAAACTGCATTGCAGGTTGCCTATACCCGAGATATGAGCTTAGTGAATTTTGGGAAGGCGAGAGAGCAGATGGGCAAGGAAATCATGGAATTATTCACCATGAGAGCAATTGACAATAATGTATCCGCACCATCGCTGTTCCTGTCTAAAGATGGGACTCCGAAGCTTGCATGGCTGCAAATCAGCTTCCAGCTGATTAAATAGCTTTTTCTGGCTCAATATTTTCTTTCTGATTTTGATTTTTGTAGTTCGCACTTTCCTCGTCCCTTTCACACTTTTTTTTTTGTTCAGTTTGACCACGAAGAATGCTTATAAATTCACTCATGCAGCTGCTAGTTAAAAGATGTGTTCGTCATCCCACTTGCCGAGTTTGTTTTAATTCTTTTGTTGTCAGTAACTTACTAGACACCGAGGATATAACAGTGGAACAATTTAAACCAAATTTGACGCTAACCGTCATTTTGTTTCGTTTGACAAAACATCTCAGAACACCGAGAGAAACTTTTGTCTACCTTTCTTGCTGCAGGTATCCGGTGTCCCTGGCACAATTGGGTGCATCGATGGGTCATACATCGCCATTGAGTGCCCAGCCAAAAAGATCCGGTCAACTTACGTCAACCGGCATGGTTACCCGTCGTTGACACTCCAGGCAATCTGTGACCGCCACAAGCGGTTCCTGGATGTAACTACTGGACACCCAAGCAAGGTCCATGATGCCAGGGTGTATCGAACATCAAGCATTGCAGACAAGCTACCAGAGATCTGCCGCAGGAGCCAGTACCACATCCTCGGCGATGCGGCGTATCCTTTGAGAGAATATATGCTAACTCCCTTCCGGGATTATGGTCGCCTGACCGCAAAGCAGAGGAATTTCAATCTGAAATTCTCGGGCACTCGTGTGCTAATAGAGAACTCTTTCGCTGACCTAAAAAAGCGTTTTAGGCAGCTAAAGCTCCTCGAATTCATCACTGTGGACCACTCAGCAAAGTTCATTATTGCTTGTTGCGTCCTCCACAACCTCTGCATTGAGGCCGGAGAGCATAGCGTTGTGGAGGACCCCGAAGACGGGGAGGCTAGACGCCCAGACACTGACTCCCTGGAGGAGTTTGGGCCCATGACGGCCACAGATTCCATCCTCCGCAGACTTGGAGAGGAGAAGAGGGATAGGGTCATTGCCCAAATGGGGCTGAGATGAGTGAAAACTCGCAAGCTTATTTTCACAACCTCATTGGAGGCCTGTAGAATGTAGGCCTTGGGGACAAGGGGCGTCTGCCCGAGTTCTTGCTCTTTCCCTCCCCATCAATGTGGCATCACATTCCCTTCAATTTTTTTTTTGTGATAGTTTTTTTTTTGCTCTGGCGAGGCCCCATTTCGTAGACAGGCAGTGGCCTTGGTAACAGGTAGTGGAGTTTGTAGCATGACCCCTTCCCCCCCCCCCAACGTTAGCAACACTACAGTACGAGAGCGAGCTTGCGCCAACCAGCGAGCCATGGGATTTGGGCTTTTGATAAAGACTGTCGATAGACAGGTTAAGGAGTGCATATTCAGATTCAACCATAGAGTACCGGTTCACTGTACCATGACAATGCGAAGAGTGATCCACAATATACATTCACAATGTGACTGTGGTGTGTATATATTTAACATCACTTCACCATGTCACCATTCCCGTGCGGACCTGGGATGAGTCTTCTACTTGTTCTTGTTTCTTCTGATGACCACTTTGGTTTTGCGTGAAATATTTTATTTTTTATTTGTCCAAATTTTGTCTCGTCTTGCCGTTCAGACTATTATTTTCATAGCAACAAAGGGCTCTGACAAGCGTTGATGTTGCTTGTGCTTCCGATTTTATCGCAGTTCTCCCCTGCAGATCTGAAATGAGTCTTCTGCTGTGCTTTAGACCATGTTCTTGTTTCGTTCTCATGACAATCTTGTTTTGTGTGAAATATATTCATCCTTGACTGTCCATATTTTTACGTCTCTTCTTGCCGTTTAAACTGTAACTTTTTAAAAAGCAACTGAGAGCTGATAAGTGTTACTGCTGTTTCTGCGTCTAATTTTATCGCAATTTTATTTTAACCGTATTGCTATTTTTAGGTTGCTCTGCGTTTTAGTCATGGAACATGTTTGCTGCCGTATTTTTTTAGCTTGGCAAATGTACTCTGCGTGCTGCTCTGAACGTTACAGGGGATGGGGGCCCGTCAGGCAGAAATGCCTTTTGCCCTGCCTCCCCCTACCCGGCATTGCCGGTGAAAATCCAAATAAAAATGAAATGAACTTTCAATAGACATTTCTGCTTCCAGTAAATATATTCCTGTATTTGTGTGTTATGTTTGCAAATGCTCTCTTTTCGTTGTGTTTTATTCGCAGTATTTAAGCTGCCGTTGCCATGATCATAGAATTTGTATGCTCGAATACTTTTTAAGGTAAGTTTACCTAACCATCTTTTGAAGTATCCACTTCAGATTAGAAGGAAGGCCCACTTGCAAATTATGAATTTATTGCATTCATGTCAAGAATACAGCTATTGTAAAAAAAATTCTTTCAATCCTGTTTCGTCTCAGGCTGGGTCACAAGCATGGCGAGAAGCCGCATTTTCTCTCGGTGCATTTCTTGTCGTTCCAGCCGCATCTCTTCCTTTAGCTTCCTTTTGGCTGCACACTTCTCTTCCTTTATCATCCTTTTGGCTGCATGCCTTTCTTCCTTCAACTCGTCCTGTCGTGATTTTCGTACTGCTCTTGCTTCCTCAAGCTTCGCCATCTCAGTGAAGAACTCCTTCATATGCTCCATGCGTGCAGAGTTCACCCTTCCTGAACGATGACGGGTGCCTGCACTGCTGGCTGGTTGGGACGACTCCTCTGAGCTTGTAGAGGATGTGCTGGCTACGGCACTGTCGGCTGGTGTTGGTATTGCTTCTGCTGCAGCTGCTGCGGCCGCCCTTGCTTGACTGCTTGGCATAGCCTTCTTGTGCGTTGCCCCATGCACGTCCCTGATGACCTCCGGCTCGATACTGTCATCCATCATGCTGATTCTATCCAGTTCATCCTCGTAAGGAACGTCGACAGGTCCCACACCGGAACGGCCGTTGTAGTTGACTGCTTGTCGCTTCCGCTTTTGTATCGTTTTCAGCCTTGTACTACACTGCTCTGGCGTTTTTTGTGATTTAAGTATGGTCTGTAGGTCTTCAGAGATTCTAATAAATACAGATTTTTTGTTTTTAAAATTTTTTAGTGGTCCAATTTGGGGAAAGTAACGTTCGTAGTAATCAAGCAGCAGCTTCGTTTCGCCAGGTGTCCACTCAGCATCTGAAAGAGGAACATTGAATCATTTACTGTAATACTTAGGGCTTGTCGTTGATGTTAGTTTTTAATGAAGCGAAACACTTTTAGGCACTACTTACTCAATGATCGGACTCGAATATAGAACGCTTGGTGCCGTTTGCTTATTTGGATGTGCGAATATGTACAGACGCCGCGGCAACATGAGCCGGCAGCCAAGTGCCACCAGCCTAACGCAACTCAAGATATCCACATGCCATTTTTATTGGTCCTACCTGAACTCTTTTTGTGCCAGCTCATATTGCCACCCCTCCACATTCCCCGTTCATGCAACATGCAAGCCCTGAATAAAAAGTTGAAATGAGGACATCATAGTGAGATCTGGCTTTCTTAGGGAAAAGTAGATTTTTGAATTAGAATCTGGACATAGCTTTTTATGCCAACATGGCCCCAAAGAATCAATCTCCCCAATGTTCTGCCCCCTTTCTCTAGCCAAGCGGGGAAAAAAAGAGTGTAGAATGACATCACTTACAGCCAGCGTTCTTTGTTTTCTTGGGGGCTACCTGGACTTCCTCCGTTGAAGGCGCTTCCACGGGAGGAGGCATTTGGCCTGTAAGGTTATTCACAGCATTGTCAAATCACCATTTTAACACAGGCTCCCAAGAACAAATTTCCACTGAATATTTTGAGCAAGCACTGCTTGTCACGAGCAACACCAGCCCGGCTTAAAAGTTCGCCAAGGTTTGTCATGGTATTTTCATTGAGTGCAGCAGGTGTGGCAGCATCTGAATAAGGGAGAAGCATCGGTTTATAAATTTGATCAAAGATTTTACCACCGAGTAACCGAAGCAGGGACCATAATAGCGAGTACCAGAGAGGAACACCCAGAGCATTTCCCTGAATCATCAACTGGATGCAGGTTGGAGATTGATCACGCTCAATTATGTTTTGATATTCGCAGATCGATAATGCTGAACGGTTTCGGTTCCGGTGACCGAGTCACTCTGGACCACAAGTTACTGTAGCTGTGCATGTAGGAATGTATACATCTATGCGACTGGCCTTAGGATGTTATTGCAGCAAGGCTCATATGGGGTCTAATGAGCAGTGAAGTTTTTCAAGGTGTCTTGAAGTGATGCATTTACTATGTGACAATTTCATGGATGTACATTATGGGAATAAAATGTAATAACGGGGAAAGGAAAGTGGTTTACACGGCTACTCTAAGAGGCCGGGTGCAACCCTTTCAATCACATGCTTGGCTAAGCTTTCAGGTCTTTTGTGTTTCTAATCCCAATTTAGGTATGTTATTTGAAGAATAGAAAAGTAAAATAGTAATAACTAAAACAATGGTGTCTTCAAGAACACGCAGTGCAGGAGTCGTTGCTGACAACAGTGGTCTGCTAAAAATGGTCTGCTTTTTGAGCCCAAAACGCACACTCTAAACTTTCACTGCTTTCATTTTATTTGGCCTATTACGCGGTCCATTTTACGACAGGAAGACCCGCGGTCATCCTCGAGCTCCTTGCTCAAGCAGCAGAGCCAAACACAGCACCATCCTGCAGGTGAACAAGTCTCAAAATTAAGCATGCACTATGGTTGGCCACACGTGCTGAAAGCCCGAGCTCATGAAGCGTTCGTTCGCGCAGAGAGGGCGCCGGTCAAGGCTGCCGCCTCGCGCTAGTACGGCCTCTACGGTTAGTCCGCACTAAGGTAAAACGAAGTAGAGCTTCTGCTGCAGTACATCCTAAGGTGAACTCGAGCATAATAACGTGAGCATGTCGTTTAGTGGTCGCGAAACGCGCGCTCGTGCGCAGAAAGCACTTTGTGTTTCGCCCGAAAGTCATCCGCCGACCTCGGAGCACGGACCTCTGCCAACTCACCGTTGCCGTATCCAGCTGCCTCACGTCCTCCGAGGAGGGACAGCAGCAGTTGGCGCACGGCCGGATCTGACAGCTGAGCGGGATCAGCCATGCTGTCGCTTGCAGAAGGGATAAGCGCGGGAATCGTGCACGGGAGACGGGAGGGTCGGGAGGAAGACTGCTAGAGGCTCACGGGAAGAGCGTCCTTCCGTTTCCGTCGGTTGGGCGTTGGGCCGCTCCAAATCCGCGCCCGCATCTTCACCTGGTGGATCCAGAGCGTGGCGAAAGGAGCGGGTTTTCTCCTCCCTTGCAGATTTTAGAAATCGATCCAGATCTACCAGCTGAATTCACCATAAGATACCGTTCTCAGATCCTTCCTTTTGTCCGTTCTCAAATGTTTTGATATCAAGAAATGTTTACCTCTTTATTCATACCCAGAGAACCCCTCCCAGTTTCAGCATGAATGCAATAAATCAATGCAGACTAGACCTAGTAAACTATAATGCACATGAAAATGAATGTTTGCCACATAGTCATGTATCAGTCAGTGGCTCAGATCTCAAAATACATTTGTATTGAGGAACATTCTTGAATAAAACTTCTGGGCTTCGAATTCAACAGTTTGTACTTCCATAAGGAACACTGTATGGCACTGATTTTTTTTGTTTTTTTGTGACACATCAGAAACAGCACAACACTGTCATCCTTGCATACCTAACAAGAATTTGTATTTTTTTTTAGCATGGCATGTGCTATTCTAATGCCCATACAGCCTCCTTTAACAAAATTTCCTTTGTATAGCTTTTTATTGGTTCTTATTTAGCTCGCACGACAGATTCGGTACCTTGAATTCTCACTCGGCATCAACAGTTTTATATATTAATGTAATAGCGAAAGACAAGATGTATGGACTTGAGTACGGTTCAACAAGCACAGATGTTGAGAAAAGTACTGAGGAAAACTCAAATGTCAAAATAAAAATAAGCTGGAATGTGGATACAATTATGGACATGGTCATGAATACAGTTAGCAGATTCAATATAAAGAATATGTGTTAGACGCACGCTCAAAGAAACCTGTTGCATCATTATTCATTCAAATTACTTTGCAGAACCCAGCGCTGCAGTCTCAGGTGGGAGTTCGCTGGATGAGTCTACTGAAAATGAGTGTAGACGGAAAAAGCAGTTTGATCTGCGATAATGAGCATTACATAAGTGACATGTCATTATTACTGTTACAGTGCCGAATGTTCCAAACTGTCAGTCGCATCATTCTGTGAATTCCCTCCGTACATTACAGGGTTTGGCTCTTTCGAATGCTTTGCGAGAAAAATGATGAACTGGAAATATCTAGAGTACTTCTAAAAAAACTATTTCCAGAATCTTATCTCAGCACCGCAAAGAATATAAAAAGTTTCTAAAGACAAGGTTAGTGGAGGAGTTGAATAAACTAAATACTTTGTTTTTCGAAACCATCTTGCCGTAGTAAACGTATGAAGTTCCCCTAGGTAGAGCTAGTCATTACGGATGATTGTGCCCATTGCATACCATAAAAATTTAATTTGCGACCTACAATATTTACAAACTCAATTAACTCTGAATAAGTGGACCACTTGGCATTAAAGATTGGCCTCACCATGACTGTCTGCCAACATCTACATAATAATTTTCATGCACCTATGTATTTCAAGAAAATATTTGGTGCGAGCTGCTTAAAACACAATAGCACTTTTTAACAAGTGCTGATTGTTGGGCAAGTTGGTACGGTACGTTAGAAAACATAATTGCGCTTTAAAGACGGGGACATACGAAGGACAGACACCACCGAGTGCTAACTTTCAACTGATTTAATTCAAGAACCTCAGCGTAAAAACACACTGCGTCACCGTACCACATCTCAACCAATCCGTGGCCCTGCCACGGACCGCAAGTACGCCAACTCCTTATCCGCCAAGTCAATTGACGCCACACTGACACAACACGTGCCAGAACTATTTATAGCATCAGCCTCCATAATTTCTCTAACAGTCATATCTTTGTGCCTAGCAAGAACAGTAGACAAAGCAAATAATGGTTTGCACTCGCAGTGATGATCCGTCGTGTCACTGTCATGACTGCGGGTGCAAACAATTATTTGCTTCGTCTACTGTTCTTGAGAGGCACAAAGATAGGACTGTTAGCGAGATTACGGAGGCTGACACTATAAATAGTTCCGGCACAAGTTGTGTCAGTATGGCGTCAATTGACTTGGCGGATAAGGAGTTGGCGTACTTGCGGTCCGTGGCAGAACGGATTGGTTGAGATGTGGTGCGGTGACAAAGTCCGTTTCTACGTTGAGGTTCTTGAATTAAATCAGTTGAATGTTAGCGCTCTGTTGTGTCTGTCCTTCTTATGTCCCCGTCTTCCAAGCGCAATCTTGTTTTCTACCACACTTTTTAACACTAATAGAAAGCCTGTAGTGGGCCACAACTTAAGCAGTTTTCCCTTCATTATGAAGAGCAATTACACATATGTGAACCATGAATATAGGCCTGCACTGAATTTTTTTCTTAAGCTGAACGTGCTATGCTCTGTTTACTATATAAATCTTTGCAGAGCTGACAATGTGCAAGTTCCTGTTTTTTTTATATTTCACATGTCCCGACTGCTGGGTGTGGTAGGGACATAAGATTGACGACACCAACGAAACACAATGATTATTTTAAGAATTTGTTTGGGTAAAGCACGAACAAGGCGATCTGCGGGAAGTTATTTCTGTGACACCGTCGAACCTACATCCGCGGGCTTTAAGTTCACATGTTAATCATGTCTGCAGACTCCTTTTTGTAATTGGAACTCCATCCAACCCAAGATTTGAATATTTTTTTTGCATTTTAGGCTTAGTAGTGCTTTTGCTGTTCTAGTAATAGGTAAGAAAAATGCTTATTTCAAGTGGCATACCTAACACCTGGTGGCACGAGGATTCCCTGTCGTGACGCTGATCGAAGGTCATAGGCAGGGAGATACTGCGATGCTCTTGTTGCTGGGATTATCTCCCCCATGGTCCTGGCCAGACCACAGAAAAAGATTGAGTCCAAGCTTGTGGCCACTAGGATCTCCAGATCTTGAGGCACCCAAGTAGCTGAAAATAAAAACAAATCACAATCAAGTACTTGGCAGAGCTACATTAGAATGGCTAGCGTATTCTTTCGTGATCAGCACATAGATCCTCTTATTTTAGTCATAGTCACCCCCCAGGACAAGGCCACGTAGGCGTTAAAATGATGGGTACCGAATTAAGGCGAATGATCAAATGCATTCATTTAACCCTCTTTCGCCCCAACCTGAGAGACTTCTGTCAAATATTCACATTCAACAGTAAAGGCTACAAATAAAACAACTACTGCAATGCAGAGCCGTATAGTCTGTTCTCAAATGTTTTGATTTTAAGAAATGTTTATATCTTTATTCATACCCAGAGAACCCCTCCCAGTTTCAGCATGAATGCAATAAATCAATGCAGACTAGACCTTGTAAACTATAATGCACATGAAAATGAATGTTCGCCACATAGTCATGTATGAGTCAGTGGCTCAGATCTCTAAATACATTTGTATTGATGAACATTCTTGAATAAAACTTCTAGGCTTTGAATTCGACAGTTTGTACTTCCATAAGGAACACTGTATGGCACTGATTTTTTTTTGTG